CTACCTACCTACCTACCTACCTACCTACCTACCTACCAACCATCTCTATCTATCTACCTATCTAACTTACCTATCTGTTTCTTGCAAGAATTGAGTATGTCTAGGTTAATGAAAAGAAGGACTAGGGGTGACATGATAGCAGTCTTCCAATATCTGAGAGGCTGGCCCAAAGAAGAGGGGGGGGTCAACTTATTCTCCAAAACACCTGAAGGAAGGACAAGAAGCAATGAGGCAAAGAGAGAAGCAACCTAGAACTAAGGAGAAACTTCCTGACAGTGAGAACAATTAAGGAGCTGAACAACCTGCCTCCAGAAGCTGTGGGGGCTCCATCACTGGAGCCTTTCAAAAAGAGACTGGTCTGGGCCGGGGTCTCCTGCTGGAGCAGGGGGCTGGACTAGAAGACCTCCGAGGTCCCTACCAACTCTATCATTCTAGGCTCTGTGTTCTGAGTGAATGGTCGAGCTAGGGTTTAAGACCTACCACAATGATCTCCAGCGGAATCGGCACCACCAACTTCTTCTTAAAGCGATCATTGATTTCTTTGCCGCCCAACAGCAGAACGATGCAGATGAGCCCAACGACTAAAGTGGCCGTGTTGGTTTTGGTGATATTGGAGAACACCTCAATCAAGCTCTGAAATAAGACAAGACAGAAAGATAACCAATTAGGTCTGCAAGATTACTATGAGAATTATCTGATGCTTTGGACGGGGAGGGGTCCACTAAGGAGACTTGTCTGTGGCCTGAGAAAACCATCGCACTATTCTGGGACTGCAACAGGAGCAATCTTCCAAAGAGTTCTCAGGACTACAACTCCCATACTCCCTTGGGTTGGTTGTGTTGTCCGAAGCAGGTAGGAAGCAAAGGGCCAAACGAAATCTACCAACTTGCTTATTCCCATCTTTTCAAGTCCCATTGGTCAGGAACAGCCTAGTAAGTGAAGCATCCTATTACAGATGGAGCCAGTTTGGTCTAGAGCAGTGTTTCTCAACCTTGACAATTTTAAGGCATGTGGACTTCAACTCCCAGAATTCCACAGCCAGCAATGCTGGCTGTGGAATTCTGGGAGTTGAAGTCCACATGCCTTAAAATTGTCAAGGTTGAGAAACACTGCTCTAGAGGTTAAGGCACCACCAGGCTTGAAAGCAGGAGATTGTGAGTTCAAGTCCTGCCTTAGCCATGAAAGCCAAATGAGTGACTTTGGCCCAGTCAGTCTCAGTCCAAGTCACCTTACAGGGTCACTGCTGTGGGGAAAATAGGAGGAGTTATATGTAAAAATAATAACTGAATAATAAAGTTGGAAGGGACCTTGGAGGTCTTCTAGTCCAACCCGCCCGCTCAAGCAGGAGACCATATTCCATTTCAGATAAACATCTGTCCATAGATAGACACAGATAGATAGATAGATAGATAGATAGATAGACAGACAGACAGACAGACAGACAGACAGACAGACAGACAGACAGACAGACAGACAGACAGACAGACAGACAGACAGACAGACAGACAGACAGACAGATAGATATAGACCAAGGGTAGGCAACCTTGGCTCTTTTATGACTTATGGACTTCAACTCCCAGAATTCCTCAGCCAGCATGGCTCAGCTTGGAAACCTCTCCCTTTCCCCTCAGCATGGCTGGCTCAGGAATTCTGGGAGTTGAAGTCCACGAGTCATAAAAGAGCCAAGGTTCCCCACCCCTGCCCTATATCAGGGGTCCTCAACCTTGGCAACTTTAAGACTCGTGGACTTCAACTCCCAGAATTCCTGAGCCAGTATAGCTCAGCTTGGAAACCTCTCCCTTTCCCCTCAGCGTGGCTGGCTGAGGAATTCTGGGAATTGGAGTCCACGAGTCATAAAAGAGCCAGGGTTGCCTACCTCTGGCCTAGGCCTAGGCCGCTTTCTGACTCATGGACTTCAACTCCCAGAATTCCTCAGCCAGCATGGCTCAGCTTGGAAACCTCTCCCTTTCCCCTCAGCGTGGCTGGCTCAGGAATTCTGGGAATTGAAGTCCACGAGTCATAAAAGAGCCAAGGTTGTCTACTCCTGAAATAGACAATCAGATGGAGAGATGATATAGAGAGATAGATACTTACGTAAAGAACAGACAGGGGGCCACTGAATCGTTTGATATTAATCCCGAGCAGATACTTCAGCTGAGAGGTAAACACGTGCACGGCTGCTGCAGTTGTGAATCCACGCACCAGGGGCTCCGTCAGGTAAATGGCTACAAATCCAAAACGAAGGAGTCCTAAACACAACTAATAGGAAGAGAACCCACATTCTAGCAAGAGTCATTGAAATCACTTTTGATTTTTAAACCAGTTCACAACAAGAACGTAAGCCAGAGATTTCCAGTCGTAGAGAACAAGAAGTTATATGAAAATATTTGATCAATGAGAATCACGAAGGGTGACAACCGCTGTGCATTTTTTTTGTTCTTCTCTATGACTTTTTCCAAGTCTATTGTGTAATCTAAGCAAACCTGTCCGATTCAAGCGGAACATTAAGTTATTTTTGAAATAAAAAGCCGGGTTAACTTAGCAGAGGTTTCTGTTTCCATAACACATGCAGAGTACAAAGTCTGCAACAATACTTGGCCACACCTTTCTCATACTCTAAATCGGTGTCTCATATCACCTACGAGACCACACCACCACAAAAACACTCGTGGACTTGACCGAAAAGAATATTTGCAGCTTAAGGTTGAACGGTGGGCTCTTCGCTGCTCTCCGAGCTTGATCATTTTCTTACAGATGTTTTATTACCAAACCAGATTACAGCATCAGTGAAACGTCTGCAGGAAAACCACCAAGCTCAGAGAGCACCAAGGACCGCACGTTGATGGAAGATGCTCAGCCTCATCTTGAATGGCAAAAAAACCCAAAAAAAACAAGACTTAGGAAAATCAGATTTTGACTTAGATGAAAGCAATAGCTAAATCTACTTCTGAATCTGAATTCTTTGTGGGCTGCCCCAAAGAAGAGGGAGTCAAGCTATTCTCCAAGGCGCCTGAAGGCAGGACAAGAAGCAACGGATGGAAACTCATCACGGAGAGAAGCAACCTAGAACTAAGGAGAAACTTCCTGACAGTTAAAACAATTAACCAGTGGAACTACCTGCCTCCAGAAGCGGTGAATGCTCCAACACTGGAAGTTTTTAAGAAGAGACTGGACAGCCATTTGTCTGAAATGATATAGGGTTTCCTGCCTGAGCAGGGGGATGGACTAGATGACCTTCAAGGTCCCTTCCAATTCTGCTATTCTATTCTATTCTATTCTATTCTATTCTATTCTATTCTATTCTATTCTATTCCATTCTATGTTTTCTATTCTATTCTATTCTATTCTATTCTAATTCTATTCTAATTCCATTCCATATTCTATTCTATTCTATTCTATTCTATTCTATTCTATTCTATTCTATTCTATTCTATTCTATTCTATTCCATTCTATTCCATTCCATATTCTATTCTATTCTATTCTATTCTATTCTATTCTATTCTATTCTATTCTATTCTATTCTAATTCTATTCTAATTCCATTCCATATTCTATTCTATTCTATTCTATTCTATTCTATTCTATTCTATTCTATTCTATTCTATTCTATTCTATTCTATATATTCTATTCCAATTCCATTCCATTTTTTCTATTCTAATTCTAATTCTATTCAGCTGCTGCACCCCTTACCTGTATAAGACCTGACAGCAAGGTGACCGCCACTGCCACTTTCACCCGCATAGCATCGCGGGCGTCGGTCCCGTTGGTCGAGTTGGTCTCCGTCATGCCAGGCCATTCATCGGGGACTTCTCTCACAGCTACTCCGCCAATCATCAGGCTGATCACAGCAAAGGTTCCTGCAAGGGGGCGAGGTTGGAGAAGCCAGCATTAGGGCCAACAACATCCAGACACGTGAAAGAAACCACTGGAAAGAAAATTTGTTTTTTTGTTTTTGTTTTTTACGAAATGACATATCGTTGGTCCTTAACACCTGAAAAACTGTCAAAAACGACTAAAAGGTCTTTCAAATGTATGCTGGAAACGTACGAGTAGCTCTTGATCATTCCTTTAGTGACCGTTCAAAGTTACAACGGCACCGGAAAAGGGACTTTATGACCGCTCTTCCCACCTAGGACCGTTGCAGCCTCCCCCACGGTCACGTGATCAAAATCCGGGCCCTTGTACAGATTGTCCTCAAATTACAATGGTTCCTTTAGTGACTGTTCAAAGTTACAATGGCACTGGAAGAAGCGACTTGTGACCGTTTTTCACACTTACGACCTTTGCAGGATCCCCTTGTTCAGGGGGATGAAAATTCAGACGCTTGGCAACTGACTCATATTTATGACGGCTGCAGAGATGGAGAGGGTTCCACCCAACTATATTTTCAGGAACACAGTCATCTAAACCAGGAAGTCATCTAAACTGGAAGATGTGTGGACTTCAGCTCCCAGAATTTCCCAGCCAGCAAGGGGTCAGTTTCTGGGAATTGAAGTCTACACATCTTCCAGTTATCAAAGTTGAGACACACTGATAATAGAATAGAATAGAATAGAATATGGAATATAATAGAATAGAATTAGAAAACAATAGAATAGAATAGAATAGAATAGAACAGAATAGAATAGAATAGAATATGGAATAGAATAGAATAGAATAGAATTAGAAAAGAATAGAAAAGAATAGAATAGAATAGAATAGAATAGAATAAACAGATTGTATAATAGAACAGAACAAAACAGAATAGAATAGAGAATGGAAATAAAAATAGAAATAGAATAGAATAAACAGATTGTATAATAGAACAAAACAGAACAACAGAATAGAATAGAAAATGGGAATAGAATAGAGAATGGGGAATAGAATAGAATAGAATATGGAATAGAATAGAATAGAATTAGAAAAGAATAGAAAAGAATAGAAAAGAATAGAATAGAATAGAATAGAATAGAATAGAATAGAATAAGGAATAGAATAGAATAGAATTAGAATAGAAGCTGGAAGGGACCTTGGAGGTCTTCTAGTCCAGCCCCCTGCTCAAGCAGGAGAACCTGTATCATCTCAGACAAGTGACTGTCCAATCTCTTCTTTAAAACCTCCAGTGAGGGAGCACCTATGATTTTTGAAGGCAAAGCAAACTGCAAAATCATTGATACATTAAGAGACATACCTATTGATATATGTCTGGAAGTTCCAAAAAATGTATATAGAAAGACTGGAAAAAATGAAGAATACAGGCCAAAGACTGGAGGAACTGCAGCCAGCGACGCATACGCCAATCCTGAGAGAAACGTGAAAGAAAAAAAGGAAAGAATAAGTGAGATGCACAACTGAATTATTGGAATAAATGGTTCAATGAAGAATAGTTAGACGGTTGTAATTTATCAGTGTTTTTCCCCCCAATTCAATTCTCGGTCAGCAACTTGTTTGAAAGTAAAATGTCAAATTTTAAATTATGAAAGAAAACCTGCAGCAAGACACACAATTTTTTTTTCATTTAGGGCAGGGGTCTTCAAACTTGACCCTTTTGTGACTTGTGGACTTCAACTCCCAGAATTCCTCAGCCAGCGTGCCTGGCTGAGGAATTCTGGGAAGGGTCTTCAAACTTGGCCCTTTCATGACTCGTGGACTTCAACTCCCAGAATTCCTCAGCCAGCGTGCCTGGGTGAGGAATTCTGGGAGGGGTCTTCAAACTTGGTCCTTTTATGATTTGTGAACTTCAACTCCCAGAATTCCTCAGCCAGCGTGCCTGGCTGAGGAATTCTGGGAGGGGTCTTCAAACTTGGCCCTTTCATGACTTGTGGACTTCAACTCCCAGAATTCCTCGGCCAGCATGCCTGGCTAAGGAATTCTGGGAGGGGTTTTCAAACTTGGCCCTTTCATGACTTGTGGACTTCGACTCCCAGAATTCCTCAGCCAGCGTGAATTCTGGGAGTCGAAGTCCACAAGACATAAAAGGGCCAACTTTGATTTAGGGGGGTGTAGATTTTGTTTTTCAAAGTTGCAGTTTTACTAACCTTGAGGCAGCTGCATGACCCCCGTGCTGATCCCCGAGACCACGTCTCCCATCAAATATTCTTTCACGGGATAGTGAGGAAGCCATGTTAAAATCGGGAAAAAGCTATAGAGGACCGATTTGGCTTTTTTGGAAGAACAGCTGAAAACGCCCAAAGCAAAAACATGTGGTCAGTCAAGCGAAAGAAACGGTCAAGAGTGAAAATCTTTATGTGTTCATTTTACGTCTCCAGCTCTGCAGACGTTTGCTGAGGAAAATATATATGGAAACTGGGTTATTCAAAGAAATGAGTGGCATAACAAAATATGGAATATGGTAATAAATGATACATGAACAGAAATTAAATTTAAAAAAAGGGATGATTAAAGTAAATAATTATAATGAAATATGAGAGGATTTTATAAAAACAGTGTTGGTGGAAGGAAGGCAAAGGGAATAAACCTACTCAAGAATATGTGATGTTTTGGAAGGGATAAGGGCACAATTGAAATATATTGTATAATGTTAGTTGTTATATGAGAAGCAATATAGATAATAAAAATGGTCTCCAGGGGGGTGGTTGCACTGTAACATTTGTATTTTTTATATATACTATTCTATTCTGTTTTGTTCTGTTCTATTCCATTCCATTCCATTCCTTTCCATTCTATTCTATGTTATTCTATTCTATTCCTTATTCCATTCCATTCCATTCCTTTCCATTCTATTCTATGTTATTCTATTCTATGTTATTCTATTCTATTCTATATTATTCTGTTCTGTGGTGTTCCATTCCGTTCCGTTTCATTCTGTTCCATTCCATGTTATTCTATTCTATTCTATTCTATTCTATTCTATTCTATTCTATTCTATTCTATTCTATTCATTTCTATATTCTATTCTTCATTTCTATATTCTATTCTATTCTACATTTCTATATTCTATTCATTTCTATATTCTATTCTATTCTATTCATTTCTATATTCTATTTATTTCTATATTCTATTCTATTCTATTCTATTCTACACTTCTATATTCTATTCTTCATTTCTATATTCTATTCTATTCTATTCTACATTTCTATATTTTATTCTTCTATTCTATTCTATTCTATTCTATTCTATTCTATTCTATTCTATTCTATTCTATTCTATTCTCCATTCAATTCCATTCCATTCCGTCGCTAAACAACTTTCTGTAAGTCAAGGACCACCTGAACGGGATCCGAAGAATGGCCAGCTGATTAGTTTAATGAAACCCCGCAGATTTCATGTCTTACCGAAGAGTGTGCGCTATCTTTTGGCCAAGAGGCCGAGTTGTTTTGTCCTTTGTGTGCAGCTGCCCGTGCAGGATCCCTTGATTGTACACTTGTCTCTCCACATGGTACATGGGTGATGACGTGGGCCGCGCGTCATCTTCTCCCTCATGTTCCATAGTACGTATTCAATAAACGCGAGGACAGGAGAGACGTTTCTTCAGGCTGCCTGTATAAAAAGATTAGCATGGAATGTTTCTTTCTATTGAGAAGAAATACAAAAGAAAACTTTTGGATCTGTCCCTCTGCCAGGCTTCTCTTTAACCGAATGAATGAATGAATGAATGAATGAATGAATGAATGAAAGAAAAAAAGAAAGAAAGAAAGAAAGAAAGAAAGAAAGAAAGAAAGAAACAAGATTGGAAAGATAAGGAAGAAAGAATGAAAAAAGAAAGAAAGGAAGAAGGAAGAAAGAAAAGAAAGTTTAGAAAGAAAGAAGATTGGAAAGATAAGAAAGAATGAAAAAAGAAAGAAAGAAAAGAAAGAAAAAGAAAAGAAAGTTTAGAAAGAAAGAAAGAAAGAAGATTGGAAAGAAAGAAAGAAAGTTTAGAAAGAAAGAAAGAAAAGAAAGTTTAGAATGAAAAAGAAAAGATTGGAAAGATAAGAAAGAAAGAAAGAAAGAAAGAAAGAATGAAAGAAAGCAGGAAAAAGGTAAATTAGTAAATCATCCTTCCTCTGAACACTTTTTTTTAGTGTAGATTTACTTTAGACAAAAATGCAGTAGTCCTCAACTTACAACAGTTAGTTTAGTGACCACTCAAACTTACAAGGGCACCAAAAAAAGCGGCTTAGGACCATTTTTTCATGTTTACGACCGTTGCAGCCTCCCCCAGGGTCACGTGACCAAAATTCAGACGGTTGGCAACTGACTCCTATTTACGACGGTCACGGTGTCCGGGGGGGGACACGTGACCCCCTTTGGTGACCTTTCGACAGGCAAAGTCAACGGGAGAAGCCAGATTCACTTCGCAACCGGCTTACGAACTTACGAACCGAAGCGACTCGCTTTAACAACCGTGGGCAGAAAAGTTGTAAAATGGGGCAAAATTCCCTGAGCAACTGTCTCGCGTAGCGACGGAAATCTTGAGCTCGGCGGTGGCCGTAAGCCGAGGACTATCCGTAAAGCTGCTCTGAGTTTTAGTTTCTCCGCGGACCAAAAGGAAAACGTGCATGATTTAAAAAATTGCCCTTACGAAAACTCGACGCGTTGCAGAAACCTACGTAGAAGGGCAGCGCAAACAGAGCTAAAGAGCCTTTATCTGTCAGATAAAAACTCTTAATCCCATCCAATCAAAGTAAGCTTTTAAAGGATTTACTGCTGCCATCGACTAGCAAACGGGGGACAAACAGACTATATAAACGAGGAATATCATAGGCTGGCTTCTGCAGATTGATTCCTTCAATCAATCCATCAGAATAGAGCTGGGACCCTGGAGGTCTTCAAGTCAACCCTTTTGGGGGGGGGTAGATGTGATAGCAATATTCCAGTATTTGAGGGGCTGCCACAAGGAGGAGGGGATCAATTTATTCCCCAAAGCACCAGAGGGCAGGACAAGAAACAATGGTTGGAAACTGATCAAGGAGAGAAGCAACCTGGAATTAAGGAGAAACTTCCCGACAGTGAGGACAATTAACCGGTGGAACAGCTTGCCACCAGAAATCGTGGGCGCTCCATCACTGGAGGTTTTTAAGAAGAGACTGGACAGTCACTTGTCTGAGTTGGTCTAGGTTCTCCTGCTTGAGCAGGGGGCTGGACTAGAAGACCTCCAAGGTCCCTTCCAGCTCTATTCTAATTGATTGACTTAAATTAGCACTGTAGAGAAGATAGATCTGAATGTGAGACCACAATTTTGCATGTGTTGCTCACATGATGGGAGAGATGCAAAGGATTTTGGCTTCAGCATGTGGGGAAAAAAAAGGTAGCGCCTTTTACAGATCTTCTGGTCTTTTCCCTTTCCACTACTAACCAGATCTAAGCTTAGTTCTAAGACTCCACAAGGTTGGCCAGCGAGATCTCTCAGGCTTAGAATGACCAGTTTGGTTTCACTTAGATAAGAGACCAGTTGAAATATCCCCCATGGTTTTAAATTAAATTCTGATATTGCAATGAGGTATTCTAGAAAAATAAAATCTCAGATCACCATGTGCTCTACAATCATCTCATTGCAATAATAATAATAATAATAATAATAATAATAATAATAATAATAATAATAATAATAATAATAATAATAATAATAATAATAATAATAATAATAATAATAAAGTTGGAAGGGACCTTGGAGGTCATCGAGTCCAACCCCCTGCTTAGGCAGGAAACCCTATACCATTTCAGACAAATGGCTGTACAGTCTCTTCTTAAAAACATCCAGTGTTGGAGCATTCACAGCTTCTGGAGGCAGGTTGTTCCACTGATTAAATTGTTCTAACTGTCAGGAAGTTTCTCCTTAGTTCTAGGTTGCTTCTCTCCTTGATGAGTTTCCATCCGTTGCTTCTTGTCCTGCCTTCAGGCGCTTCGGAGAATAGCTTGACTCCCTCTTCTTTGGGGCAACCCCTGAGATACTGGAAGACTGCTATCCTGTCCCCCCTCGTCCTTCTCTTCATTAAACGAGACATACCCAATTCCAGCAGCCTTTCCTTATATGTTTTAGCATCCAGTCCCCTGATCATCTTTGTTGCTCTTCTCTGCACTCTTTCCAGAGTCTCAGCATCTTTTTTACACCGTGGTGACCAAAACTGGATGCCATATTCCAAGTGTGGCCTTACCAAGGCCTTGTAAAGTGGTATTAATACTTCACGTGATCTTGATTCTATCCCTCTGTTAATGCAGCCCAGCACTGTGTTGGCTTTTTTGGCAGCTGCTTGATTTCATGAGCAATGTCAACATAGGATACCGAAAACAGAATAACAGAGTCGGAAGGGACCTTGGAGGTCTTCTAGTCCAACCCCCTTGCTCAAGCAAGAGACTCTATATCATTCCAGACAAAGGGCTGTTCAGTCTCAAAAACCTCTAATGATGGATGTCTAAGGAGATTCTCAGTCATCCGGGTCAATGTTGTCCCAAAGATGCTTTTTTTTTCAAAAGTTAACTGGACCTCCTTGGTTTTCCCTGGAAGACCTTTCGCTTCTCATCCCAAAAGCTTCATCCGTTCCTCGTGGTCACTGCTGAACGGGTGAAGCTTCTTGGATGAGAAGCGAAATGTCTTCCAGGAAAAAAACCAAGAAAATCCAGTTGCCTTTTTGAAAAGGCAACTCCAGTGTTGGAGGACCCACAACTTCTGAAGGCAAGCCCTTCCACTGATTAATGGTTCTCATTGTCAGGAAATGTCTCCTTAGTTCCAGGTTGCTTCTCTCCTTGATAAGCTTGCATCCGTTGCTTCTTGTCCTGCCCTGAAGTGCTTTGGAGAATCAATCATTTATAAAAATGTATTTTCATTAAACTTTTGTCCCAGTATTTTATCAACAGGATGGATGTGTATTCTGCGCGAGCAACAATGAAAAGGTCACCAATGTCCTTTTTTTTTTTGAATCACATGCTTCTTACATAGCCAGCTGATTTAACACTGACTATTCTACAATCCACCCAAATGTTCCATGATTCATTTAGATAATCGGTGACTTTAGTTCTTGCTCAAAATGTCCAGCCTATCTTCCTCTAGGAAAATGTGATTTAATTTCTTCACTAGTTCCCCCCCCCCCGTTGTTTTTAGAAACATTAAAGGTCATATCAAAATGTTCTTTAGGCCATCTAAAATGTTCTTTAGGCCTTATCAAAATGTTCTTCAGGCCGATTCCTGGACCAGCCCATTTCATTTGGCAGCTGCCATAAAAAGCAGGAGAACTTTTTAATTAAGTCCTTACCGCCCCAAAGTCAACGTAGATTCAAAGTTGGGATTGGGGTTGAGTTACCTAGCACGTGCCAATAACAAGAGAAGGAAAGAGAAGAGCAATATTTCTGTAGCCTGGGCCACCATATTTTCTCTGGATGAAAATGGCCCATCTTTACAGAAATTGTAGCTTGCCGCAGTTAATATTGATATAGCAAAGTTATTCTCTCCCCCCAACCTTAAGTCATTCAGATGTGTGAATCTGAACACTGGGCCCTATCTAACACAATCAAATTCAACGTAGATAAAAGTAAGATTTTACACTTAGACAAGAAAAAACAACCCTATAGGTATAGACGAGGTGAAACTTGGCTTAATGCTAGTAACTGTGAGAGGGATCTCGGAGTCCTAGTGGACAATCGCTTAAATATGAGCCAGTTGTGTGCAGCAGCAGCCAAAAAAACCAACGCAATCATAGGCTGCATTAACAGAGGGATAGAATCAAGATCACCTGAAGTGTTAATACCACTTTACAACGCCTTGGTAAGGCCACGCTTGGAATACTGCATCCAGTTTTGGTCATCACGATGTAAAAAAGATGTTGAGACTCTAGAAAGAGTACAGAGAAGAGCAACAAAGATGATTTAGGGGACTGGAGGCTAAAACATATAAGGAATGGTGGCTGGAATTTGGTATGTCTAGTTTAATGAAGAGAAGGACGAGGGGGGACATGATAGCAGTCTTCCAATATCTCAGGGGCTGCCCCAAAGAAGAGGGAGTCAAGTTATTCTCCAAAGCACCTGAAGGCAGGACAAGAAGCAACAGATGGAAGCTAATCAAGGAGAGAAGCAACCTGGAACTAAGGAGGAATTTCCTAATAATGAGAACAATTAATCAGTGGAACAACCTGCCTCCAGAAGTTGTGAGTGTTCCATCACTGAAGGTTTTTAGGAAGAGATTAGACAACTATTTGTCTGAAATGGTATAGGGTTTCCTGCCTAAGCAGGGAGTTGGACTAGAAGACCTCCAAGGTCCCTTCCAACTCTATTATTATTAATTATTGTTGTTGTTGTTATTAAATCTCCTGTACTTGGTGTCCTCCTGAACTATTAGCCACGGTTAGATGGGAATTCAGATCTCAGTTATACCAACATAAGGAACACTGCTTACTGATAACTCTTGTTTTTCTCAAGGACCCGTCTCTACTTCTAGGAACTGAAATATGATTCGAATATTGTGGCACACACACTGCCAATTTACAGTACATCGAGTTTCCTTTAACAAGCTGATACATCAGTTTTGAAATGATGCGTTTCAGGA